TCTAACCACCTGATTTCACTGAATTTAAGTTCATCTAAGTTCAGTACTATAAACCCTGAGTTTGAGTGCCCTACAGTGAACATTCCTGAGGTGTGTGTGTCTACTTACCCCATTCTTGGTTTACAAAAATTAATCATTAACTTGAATTTGAATTTCTCCTTTAGTTTTATGGCTTTTTAACATTACTACAGACAGAACAGTCTCTTCTAGAATCAATTCAGTTAGCAAATAGAGTTTAAAAAAAACAAACTTGGAGACCTCAGGATTGGGTCAGATATGTTAAGACTTCTTTTGGAGATAGCACGCCACTTTGGAGGAAAAAAAAGTCTGCAATCTGAATTGTGAAATGGGATGTTCAGGCCTGGTGCAGTTCACATCCTTTTTTTCTTTCTCTCTATTTAGCCACCAACATGAGCTATTTCTCAAATGTCTGTTTCAAACTTATATGCCATGATATTCCTAGAAAGGCTGCCATTTTAAACTTTTTTACCATTTACTATTAAAAAAATATTCTTCCCTGCCACTATTCCAAACAAATTATATAAAATATGGAAGCAGCCCTAGTGACCACGAGAAACACAGGCTAGTCTTGTTATCCTAAGACTAGAGTGCTTAATAAAGCCAAAACTTGAGGAGAATGGTGAGGAAGGAAGCTCCCTTTGTGTGAATTGTTTGGTCTAGACTGCATTTGCTCAGGCGATGGAGAGATGATGAAGGTTTTGGATTAAACCGCTTTTAGCTATATTTGGACAAATACAAAGATAAGACCTCAGCTATCTATCTGCTTTTGTATTTTCCAAATATTCCACTATGGTTCTCATCTCAAAAAAAAAAAAAAAAAGGGAGGGACTCCAGTGAAAGGAGACTTGGAAGGGGTAGGTGTTGGCATAGCTTTTCTCCTATGCTATGCTCTGTGAGAACGGGGAACTGAGATGTTGCGATTAGGGAGAAAATGCACCATTCACTAAGAATGGGAAGGATAAACTCAGGGCTAAGCTGCCAATTCTATACTTTAGTTTTGGAGTATCTCTGGGTGCCTTAATTGAGAGAAGTCAATCCATTTGGAAGGGACTAATGAGCAAAGTGTTGCCATTGCAAAGATAGGACAGAGGGAAAAATAGTAATGGCAGACTGGCTATAACCAAGAGAGCAATCTTATCATTTTCTTGGAGATCCTAAGGCCCTGGAGATGTGGGTAGCAATTTCTTCAAATTGAAAGGAGGTACTCTTGATCACAAAGACACTGAATGCCAGATCAGATATATTCCTGAAGTCCACAAGACTAGTAATTCTGAATGACTTTAGTCTCCATGCTGAGCTGAAGCCAACCAGCCTAGGATTTTGGCTAGGATGACAATCACGAAGCTATCCCAAATAATATCTGGAGCCAGTTTGGTGTAGTGGTTAAGACACCAGGCTAGCAACTGGCAGACCATGAGTTCTAGTCCTGCCTGAGGCACGAGGCCAGCTGGGTGACCTTGGGCCAGTCACTCCCTCTCAACCCTGGGAAGGAGGCAAGGGCAAACCACTTCTGAAAACGCTTGCTAAGAAAACTGCAAGGACTAGTCCGGGAAGTCACCAGGAATCAACAATGACTCAAAGGCACAACATAATAATAATAGTAATATCTGGCCTTGTCAAATGACAGGCTGCACTGTTGGTTTGCTTCATTGTCCAGGACAGGAAGACGGTGATCTAGATATAGACAGTATGGGGTTGGGTTGCAAATCTATTAGAAAAGTCTGCCCTCATAATCAAAATGGAATAGTTTTCTTGGCTGCTCTGGGACATTTCCAGCCCCAGCCAGTGATACTGTTGACGCCCTGATAGATATCTGGGGTAGAAAAGTGATCTGGGTAATCACTCCAGCTTACTGAGTCGAATGGGTTCTTTGGTCTTCCAAGGAGGTCAGGGCAATGAAACAGCAGGACCAACTAATAGACAGAAGAAGATTCAGAGGAATCCAGTCAAGCATCAGCCAAAACTCATGTTAATGCCCGTGCTTTGTCTTCAGGGCAGAAAAATAGATGTTCTGTGCTGCCACCATCGTATGCACTTAATCATCCCGTTGTAAGAAGCCGATTGCATCAAGGGCCTAGTAAAGCTTAGGAAGACAGTGCAGTTGCCTGCAAAGCTGCATTTCCTAGAGCCTCAGATAAAATTGCTTGTGTTTTCTCCAACCTGGACTGTTTGATAATAGCAGATCCTATGGTATACCTATGGAGTTTGCTTGTCCTATCACAGAAAAATAGGACCTGAAATGCATTCAGACCGCCTGAAGATGTAGACAGGATATTTGGAAGCATGAAACAAATTAAATATGCTTTACCCTGATTAAGCTGTCCAAGACTGGTCTGGTCAATTGAGTACAGTGCTTTACTGGAGGAAGGAGCTGAACTATCTAGTTTAAGATGTCTGTCATAAAGAAGACCACCGCACTGCATAACTTCCAGTCAGTCTCTAATATGCGAGGGGACAGGCTCAGCTAAGCTCTGAAACTTCATCTTGGGAAGCCAGGTTGGCACCCCCTCTGCCATCTTTTCAGGAAGGGATTTTCTCCACAGGCAGCATTCATTTTAGAATCTGCCCAGAGATGCAGGTGCATTAGAAGGGGAGGATGGAAATCTTTGTATGAATAAATCACCATGTTAGTTTAGAACTTGTTAGAGATTGAGATGCCTCCAACATACCCATCACACCTCGTTAAATTTAAATTTTCTTCCAGATGGAACAATACACCTATGGATGAAGCTCTGCACTTTGGACATCATGATGTATTCAAAATTCTTCAAGAATATCAAGTTCAGTACACACCTCCAGACAATTCCAGCAATGGAAAGGAAAATCAAACTGTACAGAAAAACTTAGATGGCTTACTATAACGCTCTTCTGCTAGAGCCCAAGAATCAAGTTAATGATCTATTTAATTGTGGAAAATGATTATGAAGAGTGTGCGTGTTTCTGTTGGATAGTGATGTATATTTTCCAGAATACTGCTTTGTTCCAATGTTACAGCAGCTTTGTTTGTTGCACACAGAAGATACTAGTTTCTTTTTCAGAAAAAACAAACTATTCATGATGTGAGCAATATTACCTTGTGCTACATGCAAGTGAGAGAAATTGTTGGCTATATGCACAGGGTTTTTTTGGGGGGGGGGGTTCCTCCATGAAGCTTTACTCCATGGTCAGCTTTTCTGTCCTGCTTGCTGTATACACACACATTAAAAAAAAAAAGCTGTCTGTAAGTATATCTGAGCCAATGTAGTCGTCTTTCAAGAGTTGTTGCTGACGTGGATTCAGTCTGGCATCTTGGAACATAAAGCACTCAAATCTTTTCCCATAATACCTGCTTACATCATATAATTTCTTACATATAGACTAATGAGTGCTGTCTAGGCTTAACTTTTGTTTGAGTGTTTTTATCAGGGAATCTCTTCCAAGGTTTATTTGACCAAACAACGTAGGGGAACGTAAGTGAATACTGCACCTGTAGATTCTTTGTCCTATTTCTTCCTCCTCCCTCATTCACTGGCTGAAATAGTCTTTCCCAAGGTGGACTATGACCCATGGCAAAAAACTATGCTTTCCTTACATGATCAAACTGCATTAGCTTTGGTCATAGGCTATACGTATACATGGCAAGCTGGATATTGCTCAGTGAAAATGTTGACACTCATTTATGCTAAGACAATTTTTCAACGGGGAGTTCAACCCTTTAAGTAGAATGCATCACAAGATCAATGTTCTTTTTTTTTTTTGTCCCTTTTGTCCTACCATTTCATTCACAAGGTCACCCTCCTTCACATTTGTTAAAAAGTTTAGCCATATTGACTCTGTAGGAGTAACTCCTAGAAAGTTCACTTGCCGAGAGCAAAAGGACTGCAGCTGACCAGTTTTTCTCTAGAACAGAACACTGGCCAACCCTCGTATCTCAGATGCCTCGGACAACTTCATAATTCATACCCCATGTGGCCAGCACATAATAGGGAGTTTTAAAAAGTGCTATCTATATGGTGCAAAGCTGGGCATCTGGACACATAGCCCCATTTTAAAGTGTTAGAATGTATGCTGACCAGTCAACACTTTAGTACTTTGTATTTTATTATTTGCTTTAAAACCAAATGAACATGCTGTAAAATACCAACACATAAAAAAATGGCCATATTAGCCAACAACCTATTTTACCCTTAGCCATTACATAGAAACTACCTAGCACCTACCACTCTCTTGCAACTGTAGAATACCTTTTCCTCCTTGTGAGGGGAAGCTGTATTTTGTAGTCTTTGTAGCTACTGGACACAGCTTATTTATATGTGGATTTACATTACTCCTCAGTTCAGTTCTGCTCTTGTCTTTCATGGTTTCATTCCAAAAACAGTAGTTTTGAATTTTAAGCATTTTACTTATCACAACATCTAAAAGCGAGCTTTATTTGTACCTTAGTAACACGGTCATCTTAGTCTACTATCTCATCTTTTTGTGTTTGTGTTGCAGTGGACCGGCATCATTTTTTAGCTTCAGGGCAGGATTATCAGTGACTTTACTGACCTGGTGAGCAATTGTGATTGAGTTGGCTTGACATTTGGCTTTATTATAGGGAATGAACCACGATGAATGTATTCTTTGCTTGTCACCATTTTCCCATGACTTAAACTTGAGTGTAACCATTCTGAAGGTAAGATTTATTTTCAGGATTACAAATCCAAATGTGTTGCGTTTTAAAAATAATAAACAGGCCAAATAAATAAATAAAAGGTGGCAGTCAGCTTGTTCTTTTCACGTCCAATCTGCATTCTGGTGCATCTTCCACAGAAGCATATTGTGAGGGAATGGTTGCCCTTCATGGTGCCATTGCCCTAAAACGTAGTTGAGTCTGCTCTTCTGTTCTTAATACACAAGGGGACATTTGTTTTTTTTAAAGAAACGTTTTAAATATGGAAGCTGGCAATGTGCACTACAGTGCTGTAAGTGGGGACAGCATGAAAAAGAAGGCCATAGAAGACTGCAATAAATGCACTTTACTAATCACTTACAATAGCCGGCAACACGACAAAAAATATCCCTGTTTTGAAGCACTGCCGTTACCCTAGCACACGGATGACATTTGTGGGAAGAACATTCTTCCCTCAATAAGAAAGACCACATTACACATGATTTAAAACTACACAAACCCCATTGGTTCTTACCCTGATTGCTTTTGCCAATTTCTGCAATAACAGTAAGATGGGAAGGAGCTGTTGGGGTACCTGGGCTAGGAAAAATAAGTTAAGTGTACCATCTAATAAGTTTGATAAATGGCTGAAATCATCTGAAGAAGCCAGAGAGGTCCAGTGACAAAGCAGCGGAGGACTTTGCTTCAGGATTCAGGTTATCTCTAAGGAACAGGTAATTGCTTTAATTAGACTTTGCATTAAATTCTAATTTTTTTCGTGCATGTGAGAAACCTTATTCTCTGCACATGTAGGATATTCTGTGTAATTTCAGACTAAGTTCAAGATTTACTTTTCTCGTTAATCATTTTTTGGGAGCTGATAGATAACTTGACAGCAGTCTTTCTCCTGAGATCACTAATTAGCGGACCAGCACCATCCTATGATCTGCCAAGAGAACTGCATGCATTTCTGTAAACTGGGATTCATCACAGCATTTATCTTAAAAGGAAAATTAACTTAGATTTTATTGCTTGAGAGGCTGATCTATCTTCCAAAAGGGGAAGGGGAGAGAAATCCCCAGTCGCAAGCCTTGACATTACAAGACCAGGAAATTGCATTATAAAAATCGATTCATTTCTGCCTTTTATTGGGCATAATAAGTTGTGGGAACTTACTCAGAGACTAGTGGTAGGGGGAGGTCCCCAGGAAAGGCAACCCCTGGAAGTTACGTGGTATGGCAGGAGTAACTATGAAACATCTACACCAAGGTAAAATGATAATCCTAGATGGTTCAGACCCAGAGGGCTTCCAGAGAAGTCTGAGACCTCCAGCCTCCTCCCATACAGGTCTAGCTGAACCACCATACAACCTTCTACATAAAGCCTGACATAATATTAAACATGGTACTGTGAAAACAGTTATGTACAGGACTGCTGCATAAACAACTATTTTTCATAGCAACTAAGCATTTCTGAAGTATCAGGCTGCTCTTTCAGTAAAGTGACACAGTAACCAAACACTGCAAGACATGAGACCAGGTGATGAGACTCCTATGGGTTCTAGGAGTAAGGACACACCGAACCTTTAAGCCAGGTGGCCTAACCAGCATTCACGGCGTATATTCTGCACACATCTGTAAGAGAAAACATATGAGCCACCAGGTTAAAAAGAAGTCCCACAGCTGTATGTTTCACTGCAATGAGGTGGCAGCATCCAAAATAAGATCAAAGGGCTTTAGGATGAGTTAGATTACAAGTACACTTAACATGCAAGCAGGGTTGTAATTCTGACTTCAGGCGGAAGACCCAAACTGCAGGTAGAGACAGTTGAAACAGCATATCTGTAGAGTTCATTAACTGCCTTGTAGCCAGAAGGATGTACCTGTATCGCAAAGCCTCTACTGTTTTTCAAGGATAGTTCCAGTGCTTCTTAGGCATCTCCTTTCCTTGGAGATGACCTGCTTGCTTGTTACAAAAGCAGTCTGATACATCTTTAGACCACAAAGCAACTCAACTGTCATTTACTCACCATAAGTTCTGCAGGAGTTATCTCTTGCGATACTGCATCGAACTCTTCCGGAGACATAGGCAAAAGGGTCTCAGGGCCAAACAGTCTGGAAGGGTGGCTGCAGGATGGTAAAGGACAAAAACAAGAATGGTTTCTAATGAATCGGAAACAAGATTAGTCCTGGCACAAGTTGCCTCAAAATCACTATTTCTAGGCTTAGACTGCTGATAACCATCAGTATTGCCTACAAGCAATCCTCAGTTCAAGAACAGAGCCTTCTTGCCACGTTGAAACAGAATCTGCTTGCTTTGAGCCAGGAATCTAGTCAGCCTGCTATTCTACATCAGCCTAAATACATATTGAAATCTGACTACTAAGCTTCTATTAAAGGAGCAGGGGTGGGTGGGCAGGCAGGCATGCAGGGACATGTCATGCTTGAGGCAACACTTCTATCTTGCGTTTTAGGCTTTCACAAATAAATTCGGCATGGAAGCAGCAAGGACAAGTACCTCTATTCCAGAGGAATCACCAAAATCTTGGCCAATTCAAATTAAAAAAACAAAGACCAGGGGGAGAGGTTGATGCTACGCGTGTGAATATTCTATTCCGAAAGCCCTGCATGGACACAACGTGCAGGTGAAGACAGCTGCATTCCAGGGTTGCTACTTTTGGTACAGAACTTCCTCCATTTGGAACTCTACCTCCTGCTTCCTGCTGGCTTAAAGACCCTCCAATGCCGAACCCGCCCATGTCCCATGGGATTGTGCCACCCACAATGAGCTGCAAAATAAATGTATTAGGATTATATTATTCAATACAACATGCAGACACCTGTTTAGAAGGTTTTCTTCCTTCACAGTCATATAGAAAAGATACCTTCTTCTAAAACATTGCCTACTGTAGATTATACATACAGTCCCCCAAATTGGAAAACCAACCTTTTCCCTCTAAATCAGTTAAAACCATACGCAAATGTGATCGATTAAATCTCTTTTTGGTTTTCTGGCAGATTTAGAGGGGGTGAAATTCAAGGAACATTCTTAATTGACATCTCTCTGCCCACCTATGACCAGCAAGATCATCCAAAGAAACCTGCAAGGAGCTACATCTCTCCCCCCGCACCCCACAAATCCAGAGACAATGAACAGGATGTTGAGAGAAATGGTTTGCTATATACTAGTCAGAATTATTTTCAGGCCAATTGCCTTAACGGCCTTTATGATGGAAAAACAACTTAAGCGATGTTATCGTCATTACACAAAAACCGGACACCATACAAATGCACTGCAGACATCTTTTGTACAGAGGCCCTGTCAGTGAGCTTAAAATCTAAGTTAGTAACGAAAGAGAAGGGTTTTGAAAAGGATCTGCAGGAAGGGAAGAGCTTTACTCGGTTGCTGTAATCAAGACATTGCCAAAAGAATCAAGGGATGCAGCAGCCCAGGAGGAAAAGTAAAGCCAACAGTAGAACGGAGGGAAGCAGAAGAGAGATGTGACATGGGAGAACAGCCTGGAGCAGGCACGCGAGAGCTGAAAGCAGGGAGGAAGCCTGCCTGAAAGCAACCAGCCAGCCTGTTCAGCGCAAGTGCTCTGCTCACTACCCTCCTCCCTTTTAAGACCCTGACCTGGGGCTACTTCCCATCCCAGGTCCCTTCCTCCATCCTCTCCCCCAGCCCACCTCTTCTCCAGCCAGTAGCTTGTAATACTGCCACCAACCTTATCACACCTGTCCTCCCACCCCTTCACAATATAAACTGAGGAAGTCTGCTGATCCTTTCCAGTAAAAACACTATTAAAAACCAAAGAGGCACATTATACCATTATCCAAAATCCACAACTTTATTTTGACATGTTACGTAAGAACAAAGTGTGGGCCCGTGGAGGTAGTGTCCTGCAGACTTGACTATCGATGCTGGTGGCAGGGAAAGGGAGGGTGGTCCGAATCCTAGCTTCCAGAATCAGCACAGGCACAAACCAAGGCCACTGTTCGGCTGTGCTGGTTCCCAGAGGCCACGCTGAAGGCACATGGCCACAGCACCTGGGCAATCCTGAGAAGGCTTCTATTCTGCCATAGCATGACACTGACCAGTGCTAACAGTGACACCCCAGTACTTTCAAAGTGTATTCAGCGCTCTTCTCTGCAAACTCACACTTCGGATACAGAGATTAGTTCAGTTTTGATGTATCCTTTGCCTCTGCCATCCACATCCATGGGTTCTGAAGCTAGAAATAAGCACACAAAAGGCTTACTTGTGTATCTGGAGAACAGGAAACATTCAGACCAGACCAAGCTAATGTCTAGACCAGCAGTTCTCAACCAGGAGTAATAGGGTCCCTTGGGGGCCCTAGGATATTTCAAGGGGGCTGCTGGTGAAAAACATGTAACAAGGGGGCATGGTACATGCTGAAGGGGGCCACAGAAAAGGTGTCTTATACTGCAAATAGTGTCTTGTTGACGCCAGAAAATGCACCACTTATTGTCCCATGTCTGTATCAGAGACAGAACCGTGTGTTGTGGCTAGCCTACTCGCCTGGCAGATGGTGGAAGACCTCAGCAAACTGTTGACTGACAAGGAACTGTGCTGAGCAAAAACCCTCCGAGAAGTCACACTGTTGCACCTGACAATAACATAACTGGCTGTTGATCTGTCTTTTGATTCCTCTCAAGCGACATTCTTGAAAGCCTGGATGACTTAAGCAGGCTGCCAGTCACCCGATACACCTTCTGAAGATCAGTTTCCCTGTGAACTTCACTCGTTACGAAGGCTGCTACTACTAGTATTGTTAATGCTTATTACTGCATACAGAAATCTGTGGGTTATCAAAGGGTAACTGCCCTTAGTCGGTCTGTTGCGTTGTGGGACACAGTTGTGGCATTTTTCAGTAGTTAACAAATTATTAATGATGATTTCCACTAAATGTGACATATTTTACCTGATATTTTCAAAAAGCTTAATTTGTTAACAAGCAACTGCAGGGAAGAAATTATGACCTTTCATCATGCAAAGAGATTATTAAGGGATTTTTTTGGAAAACTGAAACTATATGCAAACAATATTGGATGTCAGGAATTTGCCCAGTTTTCTTATTTGGTGGTAATTAGTCTTGATTTGAAAGACGATGTACTGATGTACATGAATCATTTGAAGCAGCTACATAATGGAAGTTTGTTTCTGTGTCCTGCTGGATATGGATATTCCAGCCTGGATAGTGAATCCATTTGTGGTGAATGTTGTGATGTCACATTGGAAGAATCGCTCATCGAGCTACAGAGCAATATAGAATCCCAAGCAAGTTTTAAACGAGCTAAACGTTATTTTGTGTCAACAGTGCAAACCAAGTGTGTAAGCGCCAATCTTTTTTCACTGTTAATGGGACTTGGACAAGGGGGGGGCCACAGGCAAAAAAAAAAAAAAAGATTGAGAAACACTGGTCTAGACACCTCTCCCAACCTCTATTTTATATCCATTTAGGAGACTATAGCAAGAAAAAAATCAGCTTTATACATACAGTTCTGGTCATGCAGTCAGCATATGTTTCAAATTATTCTCGATGTAGATATGAGCCAACGGTGCTTTTAAAAAGCAACACCAACAGCAGCTTGTGTTGTAAGACAGCCCCTGAGCCGTGGAATGATTTTCAAAGAAAGGGCAGTGGCATGTTTCAGATGGCTCCAATCTTGCCCCTTGCCCCCCACCCATTCCAGAGCACTATTGTCTGATTTGGGGTAGAGCAGGGAGAGCTGACATTCCTAATGTAGTCTCCAAGGGTAAGCAAAAATTGAACCACCCACACACGCACATCTGGACGTGAGACTATTAGCCTTGTGAAAAGGCAGACCGCAGAGAGAAAACTACTCACGCTCTTTGTGTCTGGAGTAGTATTTTCCAAATGCATTGTCTTTGGGAATGCGTGGATACAGGTATTGCAGTGGGTTTTCGGGAATATTCTCTGCCGCCATCACTTTGTAACTGCGAATGATATCAGGAAGGCTGACTGCGGTAAGTTCCTTTCTTGTATAGGGCTCCACAGAGTGGAAGGACGGATCTGGGTAGGGCAGGGTGGGATGGGGTGGGGAAAGAAAGAGGAGAACGTAGATGTTAACAGCTTGACTTATGCAACAAAAGTTCAGTTCCAATTCTTTCCTTAGGGCTCTCATCATTTTTTATTTTTCAATTATGTTTTATTTGGGGCTGCCCTAACAGAAGCTTGACATACAGAAATTTAACAAGGAAAACTCTTCCCAGAATTGGAGAAATGACATTTCTTTCTCTACTATATTTCCATAATATAGAAATTGCTGGAAAGTCTGTGGCTGGACACTGGGAAAATGACAGGATTAACACTGTTCCCTGTAGCTCCTGATTTAAATTTTAGAATCTCTTTAGAATTTCTTGTAATCTGTAATGATTTGAATCCTCTCCAGCACCTTTTCTGAAATTCTGTCAGAGACCACTTCGTCTGTAGCAGATCACTGCCATCTTGTGGTCTGCCTAGAATACTGTATTTTCTTTTGGAATTAATTTGCCATCTGTTGTATTACTGTGATCTGAGCAGCATATATTTATATTCTTCTACACAGAATGTTTGCATGTCAATATTTAAACAGAGTTTTATTTTTTAAAAAATAAAGTTATGTTTTATTTATGTCCTGAGAGATGGGTCAACTTCCTGGGAGAAGAGGATAGAGGAAGCGCTGAATCCTTTACTCATGAAACCTCAATGCTATACAACCGGGGAATAGCATTATAGAAACTACTTTAACTTCTGCATTTTGACTTCTTAATGGCCAGAAAGGCAACACAGGGTATAAAAGTCTAATTTCTCTCTTGTAACTGGGGTTATACATAAGCACCAGATAAGGTGCACCCAGAAAATAAGTGGCAGCAGCAGGAACAAGAAAGTTGGTACCCCAGTGCAGGAGGTGGGCCACAGTGTGAAGACCCAGAGAAGCTCTGAGACCTCCAGCTTTCACCCTGTGGGCCTCGGCAATTTACTGCAATCGCAAACATTTACTTAAACGCTACATTCATGCAGTTCAGGCAAACATGAATTGAGAATAATTTTGGATTTATGCAATTTACATGTACAAGCACATGTAAGGACTGCATTTGGGATTGTTATAGATTTCCCTCCTACACAATATTCTATTTAGGAAAGTCTCCAGTTCTAGTAGTGTTTTCATTCTAATGACATGATTAATTAAGTAGCTCTGTGGATTTTAATCTATTGCTTTTCCTTGGCAGTTTTACGTCTACTCCTCTTTCAATAAATATTGTGAAGTGCTCCTTGCTACTTTTTATTACTGAATCTACTATATTCTGTGAGGGGTGTCTGGAACTCAAACTGTCATGGCGACACACGTGAAACAGTTCATTGGCCTGAAAGCTGCAATACTGAAGTCTTTTCATATAGTACATTGATACAAATGACACTATTGAGTCAAAAAAAGAAAGCAAAGAAAATGAAGAGTACAACAGTATGACATTAAATGTGTATTTTTTATTTTTTTAAAAATCTTTGTGATGAAACAAGGTACTTTTATGCATTTCACTTTTGCTACTTATCCAGCAGTATTTTTCAACAACCAGAAAGCCAATATTTGATTTGGTTGTTGTCAAATGACAACTAACCCCTGTAAGCATCATCATTTGATAGTACAAGGAACAACTCGGACCAAAAATTATTTGCAATACTGCCAAGAAATAAAAATTCTATTGGCACTTCACAAAGGAAACATATTTATTTATTGTCAACTTGAATGTTGCTAAATTCCAAATTAGATTTTGTCTTCAATTTGGCTCATGTAGCTGTTTTGTAAGGGGCTATAATTCTTGCAAATTTAACTTGGTTTCAGGTTACATTTGATATTCTACAACTAGCTTCTGACACACAGGGGAAGCATGGAGGTTTGGGGGGTTGAATCAAGTTTCACCTAACTGGTAGGATTGTCACAGGGCAGAACCCAGGACCAGCAGCGCATTCTCATTCCTGCCATGGGAAAAGATGATGTCCCACCCCCGTGCACAGGAAGACGTTCTCCCCTCCCAGCCAAGTTTGCTGGAGTTTTGTACAACTCAAGGTGGCATACATAACGCTCCCACTTCCTGTGGGAGGTGAGCTGGGACAAGAGAGTGTGACCAGCCCAAAGTCACTGAGCTGGCTTTCATGCCTAAGGAAGAACTAGAACTGACATGCCCCTGGTTTCTAGCTAAGCACCTTCACCACTACACCAAACTGGCTCTAGCACTTTGAAGTGGGCGCAGGTCTCACAAAACAACCTGGAGGGTCACGTGTGGCCCACAAATTGGGACCCCTGACTTTGATTTTAATACATTGCATTAGGAATGCAGATTTTCCACCCTGCTCCTGTTTTGGGAAATGATAGTTCTATGCTTAAATTATCACATAATCTTAACCAAAAAGAGCACATGAAACAAAGTTAGGAAATCTGGGAGGGAACAGAAACGGAGTTCTAGGGAATAGGGAAGAAAAAGAAATATTTGAAATGAATGGTCCAAAGGGTTGGAATGTACACAACAAGAGAGAAACAGAGAGAGTGAGATGACACTGAATTTAGTTATCTCTAATTCTACACCAAGAAAAATGTTATTCATCAACCACAAGTAGATAAAGGGAATGCTACTGCATTACTCCCCTATATTGTAGAACATTAGTTGTAAAACAAAAACAAAAACAAGAGGAACTAGATTCTTGTTCCATAGAATTGTGGAAATCAATAGGGACTTAACGTACTGGGAGAAACCAGACCTGAGCTTGTCTTTAAAGTAAGCTTGAACTGTGAATTTTTCCAAGTCAAAGATACAGATTCCCTCTCTAAAGCACAAGAGCTCTAGGGATTTGCAGGTTCCTCCCACCACAAAGCCTTTTCTCCAAGTTTCACTTACCATTTGCTGGCCCTTCCACCCAGGTGAAAGTGATCGCTCCTTCTCGACTACTTTCACTGAACCTCAAAAGAAATGTACCACTCGCCTTATCCTTAAGCAGGATGCGCTCTTGTTCTTTGCTGACAAAACCCATGATATACCTGCAACATTGGGAAGAAGGACATTCATATAAAATGAGGGGCCCTGCTGTTTAGGGCAGAACTAGAATCTTCCAGAGTCTTTCAGCTGAAAGGAGCAGAAGTATTCGAGGATTGTTACCTGAATGACCCCGTGGTAGACCTCCCAGTCCTGGTACCTGAGAAAAGACCAGTCCCCTCACCATAAGGCTATGAGAAAGTCCCTGCCCTCATATACACAGCAAGATTTTGGTTCTAAAGGGAAAACAGAAGAATTCCAGCAAGGAAACTAACACTCCTACTTTCATCTTAACTAACCTGACTATTGAGAATTCTGTAAGATTTAAGCTTGGGAAAATAATTTACTTTTGGTTGAAGCAGCTGCCTACATCCTGACAACAGATTTTATGCTGCACCATTAAAAAAAAACATTTGGCAGCATTTGCAGACTTAGTAATAGAGAGAGATTGCTATTTACTTCATTAGAAAATGGTCTTTTAGACTTTGCAGAGATCTACAAGTAGCATTCAAAAACCAGTGGAAAAACACTATAATGGTTCTTTCATGGTGACATCAGCTTTATAATCTATCCCAGATTAGTCTGAAACTCCTGTATTGTTTCTCTATTTCTTCTTAAGCTTTTTTACATGCAGCAGGCATAGGGAACAATGCTGTTTCATAAGCACTAATCAAAGCATACACATTGAAGTTCCACATATTCCAAGTGGAATCAAATTCATATGGAAGACACATTGCCATCAGCAAAGCAGTTTCTCTTAAGGGAAAGAAAGCAGGAGGAATGTTCCCTTGCACTCCATACACTCTCCAAATCTGCTATGAAGCCTCAAGTCTACAAGAAAAGATTTTCAGGAAATGGGGGGGGGGGGGAGAGAAGGAAATCTCATTGTGCAAGCAGAAAAATAGACTTCCATACACACAAGTACTGCACGCTTCCTTCCAGTGTTCAAAAACTAACAGGGCACAAGTGGGTCACTTTAGCCAAATTGTTTGTATTACAGACTGTAAATATTGTTAGACTTCCATACGCTATGAAATCCAACTGGAATCATTCTAGACTTGCTTAAAATGGCTTTCTACTAGGGCCCCAAGCAAAAGATGCTTACCCATCATTCCAGAGGAAGAGCAAGTGTTTCTTAATCAGTTCAAGGATCCCTTCAACCCACAGCCAGAAAGGAAAGTTTTTATCATTTATGTTTTCCTGAAATTGAAAAAGACAAAAGGCTGGGGTGGTAAAAGTTGTCCATTTATCTAGCAGCATCTCAAAGGTGTTAGTTTTTAATTTCCACTTCTTGTCACTGGCTCAGTGTTTTCAGATTTGCTTGTTGTGCTTATTTTCCTAAATATTTAACACAGGGACGCCCTAAATTATTAGAATGAGTAAATTACAGCTTCAAGGCCTCCATGATCCCACAATTCCTTTCCTTCCATCTTTCAAACCCTGCTCCTAGAATGAATCACACAGTTTCATCAAAGTAATTGCTGAAATTAACACTTATTTCCTGCCACTCTATGGAATAACGGCTTACCTCAGGCTTATAGCAAAGACCCTCAAATCCTAGAGGAGTAGAATGGAAAACAAGTCTGTGCATGCCAAACACAGCCCTGTTTGTTCTGCATCCTTGCCCTGCCCATTGTGGCCTTGATACCACCCAAAAAACACTGAGTGCATCTCCAAGGGCCAAAATCTTTCCTACCCTTTGTTTACACAGCTTGCAGGAGACAGTTCCAATGCAAGCTTCCTTTCTCCTGAGAAAGACCCCAAATGGAAGAGGCTTTACTAACATGACATGGGCAGTTTCTACTTGGCACACTGGAGGGCAGGTGGGACACCAACTTCCCTTCCATGTACAGTCTGCCATGGTAAGCAGTCAGCCAGTATAGAAGACAGCTGAATAGTTCCAATGGTTGGGCTGGGAAGCCAGTGCTCCTCCAGATAGTATTAGATTCCCAACTCGTATCAGCTCGAGGTGGCATGGATGCTGGTAAGGGCTTTAGTTGCTGTAGGACCTCTTCTCAATTCCAGTCCTATTCTTTGTGCCATCCATTAGTTTGTTCCAAAGCCACAGTGTCCCATTTCTTGCCATAATACTAAACCATAATGGGTGGGTCTATACATCACATGAAGCCTAAAGCAACGTACATCATAGAAGCCACCACGCTGTACATATTATGGAGCAGCCTGTGATCATGCCTACTTCGATGGAATGTAACTGCTCCAAATTATTCAAGAGCAACATTTTTTTTTCTTACTACAAGCATGATTCAGCCAGAACCAAGAAGAATTCAGTTCTATTCTTTTATTAAAGAAGAAATTTAATGAACATAACTCTAAGTTAAGTTGGATTGATCTTCATAAAATTAGCTGAAGAACATCAACTCCTACCTTGCAGAATCTTCCCCATGAAATAAGGCCATCTGGAGTACATCCATTTGCTAAAAGAAACAAGACACTTTCATCAGGTTACTAACTTTTATGGATTTAGACTATACCTGTGCAGAATGCAATGCTGTCATTAAATCACACGCAAAAATTGTATTTTGAATTTCAAGTATTGCTGTCTGGAGAAGGTTTGAGGAACATGCAACTTCAGGACAGTTTTCCTTAAACTTGTTCCCATCCAAATATGCTGGGCTACAGAATTCTCAAAAGGTATCAAAATGTTGTACAATCACTACTGCAATTCAGCATAGGATGTATAATTGCATGGTTCATTATTGACTATGAAGGATGTACAGAACTGAATTTAAAATTTATATTTCATAATACAGCCTTTAGGATAATGTATGTCATATAGTTATTAACTACAAATAAACTAAGTATAGCAGAATTGCTTTAACTCCTTTCAAAATATTTGGGAATGCTTTTATTTAGTCATGTATTGTTTTAGTTTGCAAACTAACTAAACCGGTATCTCTAGGTATCTTAATGTTTCCAAAAGCCTGTGTCAATATGTTTGTACTTTGAAGAAAGTATCCAAATCATATGTTTTCTGTAGAACTTATTTTTTTCAAATAATCTGATCCAATGCATTCCTATATACAAATGCCCATGTACAAACACTGTTTCTCACAGATTTTATTCAATACATTTTGACTTTTATTGTCACTGAAAATGTGATCAATATGATAAGAAATTATCATATTTATTATTTGAGAGGAAATGAAGTATCCAAAGAGATTAAATCCAATCTTGAAGTCCAGGATGCTTCCCTGTGAAAATCCCTTGAAGTTTCATATTAGGTATTTGTAGCCATGTTCTATTTATTAATTATTTCAACTTCTATTTCAACTTTTTTTTAAACTTGAGTTGATGCGGAGGCAACTCATTGATTTCTAGTGAACTGATACATTCTGTGACCTTTCATTCACCCACCAATTTCTTTAGTGATTACACCTACATTATAACAGGGGTTGCTCAGGTCTCCCATTTTAGTAATATTGGAGATCACAACATTAATTCTTTGGCGTCAACTCTGCAGATGTTGATTGCATTAAGTTGGAGTCTTCTGAATGCATCTCCCTCCATCTACTACACTCACCTATACATTGTAACAAGAAACATCTGTGCTATTGGCCATTATTCCCCACCGATTGACAGAGCAGAAGACTCTGTGCTGTTTCAAACCTTCACTTCAGCATTTCCTCTGCCTGTGTGCTTTGTTTTTGTTATTATCCTGGAAGGAGGCCTACACATTTCCCATCCAAAAAAATTAAGGTCCCATGATTAAGAACCCAGAGCTGAAACCTCTGATCACCATGCCTCTATGCTACATAGCCAGGAGGATCTACCACAGAAACTATTTTCATCTTTTGCATGTTGACCTTTTAATCACCCAAAAGGCTGCACAGGATGTGAGAGCCTTCTCTCTCACGTTACAAAGTGGACACAAGATGAAGGGCCACCTGGAAGATAGGGGGTGGCAGCAGGAACTATCAAGCAGCTACTCTAAAATGTGGCAGTGTGAAGATTCAGAGGGCAATGGTTTGAGTCCTCCAGCTTTTCACCCTACAAGTTTAACCATCCCCTGCAGTACCAAAAAAAAAAAAAAAAGCATGCTATGGTAAGAAAGCATTTGTAATGCCACTTACGAAGCAACTTCTCCCCAAGCATGTTCAGCTGATCTGCGTTGAGTCCCCTTTTTGTGACAGAAGAAAACTGCCAGCTCAGCACTTCAGAAAGCTGTGACCATCTTGCACAAGGTGGATTAAGAAAGAAGGACAAATTCTAACAAAGTAAAAAATGGAAGCAGATTAGAATGTGTATAGTAAATATCCCCCACTTTTCTTTCAAGGAGCTCAGGTGGCATCTCCCCCCTTTCCTGCACTTTACCGCAATTCTGTGAGATGGGCTAAGCTGACAGATTGTCTATTAATCTGTATGCTCCAGAACTGAGCAGGGAGAAGGCCTTTTTCGGCAGCTGTGTCTGGGCCCAAGAGGGGCTCTTCCTACTTCTTTATCCATAACCCTCCAGAAGCTATTTTTTAGGAATGCCTTTTGGTAATACTTTTACTCATTTAAATGCAGTACCTTTAACCAATGCTGTTAGGTTTTCTGTTTTTAATATGTTTTAAAGCAATTGCTTTTAACTGTCCAGACCTGAGTGAAGAGTAGGCTTGATCTAAAAGTTTTAAAGGAATAACAAATAAATGGGGACAAGCTGAAGGTCACTCAATGACCTTCATAATTGAGATGGGATTTGAATCTATATCAGCTCAATCCTACTCTGAAATTCTGTGAGGCATTCCCAGCTGACAATCTCCAACTGTTCTGGCCTTCAACTTCTATTGTCTGAAAATGCAGCAGACAGGTGAAGGGCACTCTAAATACCGCACAGTGGTGCTCGCAACTGGCTGAGATTTGATGTCTAAGTAGGGACTTTTGCCACCCAAAATGCAGACACTGAGAAACAGCAAGTAGCAGTGTTAAACTGGCAAAAAAAAATCTAGCGTGACAAAAATAATTGCAGAAAAAACTAAGGAGAATGTTGGGCACTCAATCAGTTTCAGCCAACCCAAGATGCAAAAACAAGGAATATTAGCAATAGATGGCTAAGCCTAAAACCAGGCGGTAACACTCAGTAATCAGAAAGTTGTATTTTACTTGTGGAAAAAAGAATCAGTAGAAGTTCCTATAATTCCTTGTACTCAGTTGCAAAATCAGAAAACTCTCTGTTCTCTTATTAAACAGTGCAAAATCATTTGAAGGTTCCTGTATCAATTTTCATTTTTTCTCTCAAACAGGAAAGCAAGTTTTGTTTTGTTTTAGAAAAACTGGAATATTAATTTAATTTAATAAATTAAATACATAAATTAAAGTTTGGTATTATAAATGATTTGGTAGGGGTAGGAGAAATATCTCCCTTTTCAGGAAACAACCATTTTACCTGTGCAATTATAAATCAAGAAGTTTGTCAACAGTTTCTCAAAATGCCACAGAAGCATCAATTTTGTAAGAGTCCGATGAATGTAATAAGCCAGGTTTTTTTTTTCAGTAAAAAAAAAAAGATAGCCACAGCAATGGTGCACCTTTTTGATCTGATTAGAGAATGCATATTTTTCACCAAAGAGTAAAACATTTTTACAATATAAAACGCTTCCAGTGCAACCTTATTCACAATTGCTCTGTTGTAAATACTCCTGTGTTCAACAAGACTAAATTATTTGTAAAAGCATTTCGGATTGAGGCTTTAAAGGCAGCCGGTCTGAACACAGTGATTCTTAGCAATATCAGTCTTAGAAAAGGTGCTTGTTTAGTTACCTTGGGTTCATTCATCAGCATATTGTACCATAAAATGGAAGCCCATCCACTTGGCAATTGGCTGACATTTGAAATCACAACAATAGGAAGGGAAGTGGTCTGCAAAGGGAAAATTGCAGAGACAAGTTGAGCAAATATTCGTAAATGGAGAATTCCATCTAGAGGCAGAAAAAAAGAAGCTAGTTTCATATAGCACATTAAGCTTTTTTTTATGGTTTGTTGAATAAGCCGGGGTGCAAAACCACTTTATGGCTTGATATGATGTTTGTGTGACCGGTGAACTCAGCCAAAGCTACAATCCAGCCTTCCCCCAAATATGAGGCTGTAATTCAATCCTCCTCAGCCATGCAGAGAAGATGGGAGTTATAGTCGGTTTAGGACACAACTGGATGACATCAGTTTGGGGATGATTGTTAACCCAACAATATACAAAAGTGTCGTTTCATCATTACAGCAATTCAGGATTTAAACAAAACACAGATATTCTCATCACCCAAAGATCTGAGCAGCAGCTATAAAGAATAGGAATCAAGTAATGGAAAATAATTAGGAGGTCACACTGTACATCCTTAGTCTAGCTCCAAAGTAGAAACAGGGGTTTGGACTTTAGCTCCAAAACATCCTATAATGATCAACACACTCAGCCAGGCAAGGACAATCTGACTTTAAATGTAAGGCTCCTTCAGCCACTCAGGACAAACTGTTTGTCCTGAATCACCACATGCCAAACTTCTCTTAATTTTACTTAAGGCTTATGTCAGCGTCATACAGTCCAGCCACAAGGACTGTGAACTGGAGAAGCCGTGATTGTAGCTGCTACTGCTTCAGTTTCCATTGATTAACTCAATGAAATGGGTACCAAATGAAAACAACCAACTGAACAAAGAGGAAACATCCTGCTGTCATCCAACTGCTTTGGATTTTTCAGGACTCTGATAGAGTCAAAAGCATCTTTAAATGCATCTACTTAAAAGTAAACCTCATAATTAGCAGGTCTTATTTCAATACATCTCTAATATCTTAACTTCAAATGTTATACAACCTGATTAATGAACACTGGGCTATACAAAAAAAAAAATCAAATATATTCCAATTCTTTACCACTTCTGGTTAAGGTATACCACAGGTACTATTATCATGATCAAATGGACGATTTTCCAAAGCAAACGATAATGAAGAATTACTATCTTTATCCCCGTTGAAACACATCAAGGGCTACCAACCAAAATACAGTGGCCCTATTTACTTTCTTTTAAATATAAGACCGGCTCCAAGCAGAATGGGAGCCATACCTGCTCTGTCAATCACAGGCTTTGCTTTACTGAAGGCAGAAGCTCTCTTGATGACAGTAAGCAGACGTGACTCAACCATGATCTGCCATCAAGGAGACATCTTCTTGCATTCAACTCAATGTGAGTAGGAACTCTATTCAAACCTTGTTGTGTTGAGGAGACAAAAAGTTGTGAGTTGACAAAACCAAAATATATAGGGAGCAGATTGGGGAAGAATGCACAATGATAGACCTTAATATTTGGAGTCCTCGTGTACTCTAATGGGCACAATACAAAAAGGCCTCTTCAGTCATCTGCTGGCTTCTATTGTAGCACAAAGACAGATGTATATTTCACCCATATGACACCGTCCTTGGGCAAGCCAAGGCTGAACAAAGATTGCATATGTGTATCTGAACACAGCTACAGGATTCTGCAAAGCACCTGAAATGCATTCAGATGAACTCACAGCCTCTCTTCAGACCTCTTTTGTCAACGTAGACTTCAGATGGAACAATACACATCCCTTCTCCTGTCCACCATGGAAGACATGGGTTTGCCATCGGGTGTGGGGATCTAGTGGTGTATGCAGCTTGCAAAATGACTCTTTGTAAGATGGACTGCAATCTCCCGCAGTTATGTTTTTAATGGTTTTTAATTGTTTTAACGTTTTTTGCTGTTACTGTTTTGTTCATTTGTACTTTTACTGTGGGTCAAGTAAAATGTGCGATCAGAGACAAGTGTGTGAGTTGGGCAGCTATACAAATTGAACAAATAAACAAACCTGTGGCCTTAAGCCTGCACATAGTGTTTTGCAGCCCCTGGAAACCGTTTTGACTAATACTGTTGAAATTGATAGCACAGCTTCCTGGTATTTTGAGCTAAGAAACTCATAAACACTGTAATAATCCTAAAACAGTCCTATTAGTGAAATGACCATCTCTACCTTGTGATCTTCAAGCTTCCTTCAAATGTTAAGCGTGGCCCAAAAGATTGCCCGCTCATGCCTTTGAAGATGAAGCTATTGATATTCTATTCCATGTCTTTATTTCCTTAATCTACTTACTTCCAATTCAATTATAAGGCTGTTCTGTTCCAGTGTTGTCTCAAAACAGAGGGAATGGAGTTCTTCAGTTACAATGAGAGGGCCCTTAAAAAAATAAGAGAACTTCAGTTTAATGTATTTAAATAAGCTCAGCTATTTAACAACTTCATATTTTATTCATTTTAATATTGCAACAATACCTTTAAAGTAGCTGTCTATGAAAAAGGACAAAATGCAATTCCAACTGAGACATTATAGAAGTTAAACACGCCCTTCTAAAATATTAAACCACCAGTTACAATCTGGAACCCTAGACAGAAGAATAAAACTTACTAGGGGAAAAGTTGGGCCAAATAAATGGACCTTTAGGGCTTTCTTAAGTGCTAGTTCTGATGGCACGCAATCAGCTTCAGGTATGGATTAGGTGGGTAATTAATTAGTTACCTTGTTAAAATTTACTACAGATGTGGGGTCATTACAGGGAAATCCCTCTCTTGTTTTATGTATGAAAGGAAGACGAGAAAGAAGCACCCTGATCCTAAAAGTGCGAGCAGGTTGATACTAGTGCAAAGCTGCCCTTCGAAGAAATTTGAATGACTTTTAAACTGGGATAAAAAGGAATTCCAGTTCCAAACTGGCTAAGAATAGCTGTTTAGATCTGTATTAGGTAGCCAAAATCCTAGATTTGTCTTCATTCAGATGAGAATTCCACCTGCAATTTATTTCACTCTGTGCTACTTGGAGCACTGAAATTTTGCATCTCACTCCTGAGACAGATCTCAGGATTTCTGCAAGCTGAATCACTGACCTCTCCTGTTTTAAGTTACGTGCATGTTCAAAACAGCTAGAATAAAATCCTTATTCTATAGGAAAAGTTAAAGAACCTGTGAATCTTTTGCTGTTATATAATTAGTCGTGCAGTTATTGGCTTTTGGTTCTGCAGCATGGAAGTCTAAAACAAGAATTGATTCAGGAGTTTTTTAAAAAGTCTACGGACTCACTGAAGCGTTAAGGAATGTTTTCTTACCTCATTAGTTCTTGAAACATTCTTCTGCTCTTTTAATTGCTACAAAAGAAGAGAACTTGGTTAAATCACATACCTATCAACACTTTTTGTTGTTATGGTTCAGATGCTTCCTGCTCGTTTTAGCCCCTTTTGCTATCTTCCATATGTTATGGCTCCATTTCTTCATCTAGGAGCATCCCACATAAAACCATTCCAACTATATAAGCAACTCTTAACAATTCTCCTAGAATCTCACCAGACTGAGGTTCACCAAGAGGCTTCTGACTAAAAGCTGAACTGCAGCTGATCCTATTGGGTACACATATTATAAAAGTATATAAGTGGAGTTTTTGATTTTCAAACCTTTTAAAATGTACAGAGAAGAATGTGAGGAATCTTGACATTAACTCACATCCTCACTATCTGAACAGGCAGCAAGGAGATAAAGTAATTTCAGCATATCACATCACATACACACATACACACACACACACCACCACAAACAGCTCACCAGGTGTCTAAATTCTGCTGACAGGCTCCCATTTGACTCTTCCATGTTCATTACTTTGGTATTTGTTCCCAAGATGTTAAATTTTCTAAATCTATAAACAAGACAAGTAAAACAAATGACATATTCCTATTTGTCATTTAACAAAAAATACAAGAACAGGGACAGACTGATTGAACATACCCTCTCACTGTGACCTTCTCGCTGACATCTCTGCAAAAGAAAAAAAGTTTATGGGGTGACAACGCAGCCATCTTTCTACAGGATTTCACAATATACCGCAGCATTCTCTGAATATTGTTCCATTAAACTTTTTATCAAGTTATCCCTATGTAATCTGAAAAAAACCCACACCTTTTTCCTTTCACACTTAGCTGTTCAGATCAAGGATGTTGTAAAATCTGCAGAGTTTTACAGAGTTTTCAGTAAGCTTGTTCATGCATCATTCTTACTTAAAGTTGGAGCCTCATAGGCTTCCTTCTACAAGGATCACTTTTCAAACATTCGGCATCTAGTACTGAGCGTGGCTGCTTTTAAATAAATTCATGAATTGCTATTAATACAAATACCAGGTTGGCCCGTTATGTTATTTATACTCTCCAACTTGGGATGGACTTACCCAAGATGATTCTGCCCATCCTGAAGAAGCCTGAGGGATGGCTTCCTCAGGATCCCAGCACTGAAAGGTGGAAGGGGCAAGGGACAGAAGACAGGCTTCTCTGTGAGTATCTCAACACTGTGGAACCTATTGCCCTGAGTACAGCTCTTGGCATCCAGAAAACCTGAAGGCTCTCCCTTTTAAGTCAGTTTTAAATCTGAGTTGAGTGACTGGGTAGCCATTTTAGTTATGATACGCTGGTTCAAGAGAGTGGAGTTTTATTTAGAGATTGCGTATGCCTTCACTGTTAAGTGCCCAAAGTCAATTGATTGATGGGTTATAATTTCTTTCACAAAATAAATCAGCATGGCAAAGTTTACACATGCAATACAGGTAGTCCTCGCTTACCAACGGTTATTGGGACTGGTAACTCCATCGCTAAGCAACACGGTTGTAAGGTGCAACATCATGTTGTGCCAACTTACATTAGTCCTAGTTGCTGTCATTAGGCAAATCCCACAGTCATGAAAATCCCACACATGAAATTGCCATTTGCGACCTCCTGCTGGCTTCCCCGCTGACTTTGCTTGTAGGAAGGTTGCAAATGGTGATCACGTGACCGAGGGATGCTCCAACGGCTGCAACTGTGAGGACCAGTCATAAGTACCCCTTCTTCAGTGTTGTCATAACTTCAGTCGCTGAACAAGTGGATGTTAAACAAGGACTACCTGTAGTTTGTGAACAGGTATACTTTGACAGGTGAAAGTAAAAGTGAGAGCCAGAGCCTGTGACCAAACCCTCTTCCACTTATTCTGGGCTGCCTTTTTTGCCTCTTAGTTCACTGCAATCAGAATGACAGCCCTGGGGTCTGTAGCTATGACTGCTACATGGATGGTTGAAGTGCTATTCCTGTTACAGTTTCCAAGTCACATAGCATAAAATAAAGGAATGTTTTCTTCAAAGCAGTGAGCTCATGGCACCATAGCTGTTAGCAGCAAAGGAAATATTTTCACTTAAATAATGGGGAATCACATTTTGCTGGGACATCAGGAAAAACGTTAAGAGCTGTTCAACAATGGAATAAATAGAGTGCTCGGGGAGTTAATAAATTCTTCCTAACTGGAGGTATATAAATAGAGGCTGGACAGCCCTCTATCAAGGATGCTGAAGTGGATTCCTTAACTGGGCAGGGAGCAGACTAGATGATCTCAAAGGTCCTTACAAATGCTTACATTCAACATTTTCTCTCAGGATAACGTAAATGGAGTCCCTGTGCCCTTACTATGGCCAAAAGACTGATACTGCAACACTGGAAAGATAAAGATATGACCCCATTCACTCAATGAAGACCTGATTACGCTTGCCCCTTATGAGTGGATTGCCTATAGATGCAGACTTTGTATGGACAAGTATAATGAAATATGGGGCTCATTCATACAAAATACAGTAGGTTAAAAAAAATGAGTTATATAAATGTATTGGATATGCATTTGAATAATATTTGCATCAGATA